GTTGCAGCCATCATTGTTGCTTGGCGGGCCCAGGCTGGGGATTCGAACCCGCCACCTTAGGTGTATGTGGCTGGCGCCTTAGCTGCTTCAGCCACAGGCACCGAGCCTAAAGCAGTGATTTTAAATGAGGAATCCATAACTGCCCTAAACAGCTTCAGGATTAACTATTGTCTTAACATTCATTTAAATTTTATATATAAAAAGCTACGTGACTTGGCTTAAGAGAAATCACTCAAATTTGCTTTGCTTCAGTGTTCTTACGCCTAACACAAGGATAATTCCTCAGAATAGTGGGGTAGTGTGGGACTCTGATCTCCTCTGCCCTGAGTCCTCTCCACTTCCTCTGCACTTACTTAAGACACTAGACAGAATTTCTGTCAAGTTCTTTAAGTTCCTTGAAAGGAACTGTGCAAACACAGTGATATTTTGTATCCACAAATGCATCAACTGGACATACCAGTTGGTATCAGAATAAATCAGATATAAATTTTTGAGTCTTACGTTAAAAAGGAAAGTTAAATATTTACATAGTGTATATATATATAGATAATGATGGAAATTTCTTTTTCATTATCAGGAAATCATATTTTTGTTTACTGGAAGATCTCGTCACTTTTTTCATATAAAATAATAGCGCTTTCATGCCAACTTATTTTTGTCTCAACATTTTCCGGATCGTTCTAGGCACATGGCTTCCTTTAATAGACATTAGATGCACAGTCACAAATCAGCCAGTTTCGAAGTATTTTCTTTTCATCAGAGCAACTGCAAGTGAGAAGTAGAAAAAGCATTCCAATACACTGCCATTGACAGGATAGGCTTCTTTGAGGATGAGACATTTAAGTTAGTTTCAGTAATTTATATTTTGAAATGTCAGCTGTTTTTGTAAAAGTAAGTGTTAGAGGTATACTTGGCCTCCTGCAGCTGTTGTTGGCCCTTGCCTTCAAGCATGTTTCATAGTAAACACCAGAGTGCTATTTGCTGTCTTTCAAGAGATTATAAATGTGATCGCTGGCTCAAGTGTGTCTCTAATTTCCTGGGTGGGTGAAATAGCAGCCCCTCCCTTTAAAAAAATGTTTACTTCACTGTTTCACATGCATTTTGTGTATATGAAAGGGCAGCTTCCGATTTCTAGTTAAACGTCCTGCATCGTTTGTATAACTTGCTGGTCACACGGGACTATTTGCTTTTTCCCTGAGAAATTTGATGGGGGTGTCTAGTTCGCCTTTATGTTGATTCACCCTGGCTTAGTTTAGACAATCAAATTTATCTCACTGCGAATAAAAGAGCATATATGTATACATTGACTGTCACTGTTTTCTACTTTTCCTAATTATGGCAATTCTGGATGTGAATAGTTTAAGAATACTGATGCTGTACAGGTATTTTTGTGGAAATGTACCTTGTTAGCGTGACTATTTATGAAATTAAGAGTACTCATGAAGAAAATTAAAATATTTACTCTTTGAATTTTGCCTTAAACACTATTGTTTTTCACCAAGAACTGTTTCCACTGCCTGTATGAAATACTTTCTTGGGGTGGGGGGTAGGTATGTGTCCGACCGGGTCTGTCTACTACCATTTTCTGAGGTATGCAGTGTCTGTAATATTAAAATCCGCTACTCCCCTTTTAGATATTAATCACTCTGTTATCTGTACAATGCATTTGTGACAGATACATCTCAAATATTTGATAAACCAAAAGTGGTTTGCCTCCCCCAGTGACTACATAAAAGCAGCCACCGTGCTCTCTCCGGCCCAAATTCTGTTGGTCAGAATTTGATCATGTGGTCACAGCAGAGTTCAAGGGAACCTGAAAAATGGAGTCTATCTGTGTGCTGAGGAATCTTGAATACCTAGCCTGATTCTGCTACCTCCTGCCTATAACCGGCCACTTTAGAAACCTTGAATACAGGCTCGGCGCCTATAGCTCAACCGGCTAAGGCGCCAGCCACGTACATCTAAGGTGGCGGGTTCGAATCCAGCTGGACCCGCCAAACAACAATGATGGCCGGGCATTGTGGCAGGCACCTGTGGTCCCAGCTACTTGGGAGGCGGAGGCAGGAGACTCGCTTGAGCCCAGGAGTTGGAGGTTGCTGTGAGCTGTAATGCTATGGTACTCTACCCAGTGGGACAGCTTGAGGCTCTGTCTCAAAAAAATTAAAAAAAAAAAAAAAGAAAAGAAATCTTGAATACAGAATGTATGACCCCAGACTCATGTTCTTACATATTCTGTTTGAATTACAATCCAGTGCACTCAAGATAATTTGTTGTTACCAGAGATAGGATTTCTTTTTCCAGCTATTTTT